GAAGGACCAATGTCAAATACCAGTTGCTCTTGTGATTTTCTGAGAATGGAAAAGAGGAAAAGTTTTAAATTTAGAAAATAAACTTGCAAGTGGATGGGGAAAGGAAGGAGAACTTCTGGCTGTATGGAGGAACAGTGCTGAGCTGATGAGAGCCACTGAGCAGGGGGAGGGCCAGCATCAATCTCACACTGGGAGGCACACCATAGAAGCGCATGAACTCAAAGTGTAGGTCATATCTACCTACACCACATGACTGGTTTACACAGATGCAGAAACAAACCCTGGGCATCAAAATAATCCCAAAGTCACCAGGTCAATCTTAATCGTGTCTGGCAGGAAAAGCAACAACAAACATTGGAAAATAAAATTATTTTACACTCCCTGAAATGTTTTACAAATGAGATAATGAATCACTAAAAATAAATAAATAAATAAATAAATAAAAATGGGGCAAAGACCTAAACAGAGAAATCTCAACGGATGAATTTAAAATGGCTGAAAGACAACCTCCTTAGCCATCAGAGAAATGCAAAACAAAACAACTCTGAGATTCCATCTTACACCTGTAAGAATGGTCAAGATCAAAAACACTGATGACAACTTATGCTGGAGAGATTCTGGGGTAAAGGGAACACTCCTCTGCTGGTGGGAGTGCAAACTGGTACAACCCCTTTGAGTATAAATTCAAAGGATGCTCAATCATGCCACAAGGACATGTGCTCAACGATGTTCATAGCAGCGTTATTTGTCATAGCCAGAACCTGGAAACAACGTAAATGTCCCTCAACTGAAGAATGGATAAAGAAGATGTGATACATTTACACAATGGAGTACTACACAGCAGAAAATAATAATGACATCTTCAAATTTGCAGGCAAATGCATGGATCTAAAAAACATCACATTGAGTGAGGTGACCCAGACCCAGAAAGACAAATATAACATGTGCTCACTCATAAGTGGCTTTTAGACAAAATGCAAAGAAAAACCAGCCTACAATTCACAATCCCAGAGAACCTAGACAACAATGAGGACCCTAAGAGAGACACACATGGATCTAATCTACATGGGAAGTAGAAACAGACAAGATCTCCTGAGTAAATTGTGAGCGTGGGTATCAAGGGAGAGGGCAGAAGGGTTTGGGGGAAAGAATGGAGGGGAGCAGAGAAAAATTTATAGCTCAATAAAAACAATAAAATAATAAAATGCATCCCAAAGCTTTGAAAAACTATTTAAAAGAGGCATAGAAGAAGATTTTAAGCTATTTCCCTTGCTGTCCATCCAGCATAGTGCTCCTTTTCATAGATGTTCTCACAACTGTTTTTTAGACAACTAGATTAAGCCTGTTCAGGCATGGTGGCTCATGCCTTTGATAGAGAGGGATCAGGAGTTCCAGGCCAGCCTGGGCTACAGGAGACCCTGTCTCAAAAAAGGGGCGTGGCTCAGTGGTGACGAGCACTGGCTTCTTGCAGAGGGCCCTGGTTTGATTCCAGCACCCACATGGTGGCCATCAATCCTCTACTATAGTGCCAGTTCCAGGGAATCGGACACCTTCTTCTGTCCTTACGGGGCACTGCAAGCATGTGGCACACAGACATACATGCAGGCAAATGGCCCATACAGACAAAATCAATAAACTCTTTTAAAAATACAGGATTAAATGTATGGAACCTCTGATGTTCGCATGTATCTGATTTTCTGTCCATTATTAAACGCTTAAATATTTTTGTTTATTTTCTGTAAAATACTAGTTATGTTTATATTAACTTCATAATTAATCAAGGTTACAAATGAAATATTCTCTAAAGCTGACTCTAACTTCCTCTTCTGATCCACAAAATGCAGGACCTTTTCTCTGTAGTTACTATATTCAAGCCTCCCAAACCACTCGGAAATGACCAGGCCCATCAGAGGGAGGACGCTTCCTGATATACAGCCCCTACACACTTATCTCTGAAGGACACAGAAGGCAACTGCTGGAGGAAGCCACCCTCTCTTCCTGAGAAACACCCGCTGTGGCTTGGCTCTGACGTTAGCCATCCTCCTCAAAGGCTCAGGTGGTAAAGGCACTGTCCCGAGTGGATGAGTTCAGAACTGAAGAGCTACTGAGAGGTGGAGACTTGTGAGGTGAAACAGGTCACCAGAAGCCTGTTTCCGATGGTCTGTCCCATTGTTTCTGGGCCTCTTCTTGTCTGCTGCTCCCGGCTTCCCAGCAGCCAAGGGACGAGCGGCCTGAAAGGAGCTCCTACCATGATGCTCTGCATCACCTCAGCCTCCAAACAATGGATCTAGCCAACCTGGACTAACATGCATGAAGTCATGAGTTCCAGTTAAAGCATTTCTCCCTTAGGCACTCTGACAGTGGTAGGAAACTAAGACAGTACCTTTGCTACTGACACCTTTAAAACTGGGGGGCGGGCGGCAGAGGGGGCGGGAAGTCTGACAAATCGAAGACGCAAAACTTCACAGAAGGGTGCCTATCCACTTGGGATCGATCCCTTTTTCACTCCATTTGATATGGGAAACTTCTAGATCCTATGTTTATATTTGACTCAGTCTGTTTGAGTTCTCCTCTGGCCTCTTACCATTTTTGAAGGCTTGCTACTGGCATGCACCTTTTTTTGAAAAGAGGTGCTAATAATCCAGTGTTGTCCCCTCAGAAACATAACTACTGACCTACTCTATCATGCACTCATTCCGTGACTCCTAGGACTTATCTGAAGTCTGTGGAAGGTGATGGAGATTAGCTATTCGCTCTGTGCATATGAACCCTGCCCTGCCTTGCCTGTCCACAATGCATCATGACTAGCCACATACATATGGTAATCCACGAAGATTCATCGTAACCCTGATTCTGGGGCCCTTTTCTAGGTTTCAGGATTGTGCCACCAAGTCATGCTTCCCGAGACTGTGACACTAGATCCGTGATCTCTAAAAGTGGCTGGGTTCTCCTTAGTCTGAGAGATACTGTCCATGTCCCCTTTCTGCTGAGTAGACCTACCCTTGTGTTGTGCTTTGGTAACAAAAGGCCATGTGACTGACAGCGTGTCAACCATCTTGCTTGTTCTAGCACACTGCCTTTGGAAACCCTGCAATGAGCCTGGACAAATCTGCTGGATGAGAACTAGCAGACAGATTTATGAGGCCATTGTAGAATGCTCCAAAGTGACCGTTGCAGCTTGCCAGCCAATAGCAAGGCATTCTGGCCCTGATGAGCCATACATTCTTAAAGCAAGAATGTCTACTATCGCCAGCCACCAGTTTCAGAGTGACCTGCCATGCAACGATAGAGTACCAATACACCATAGCTCTGATACCATTCACCCTGGAAGTATTGGTTTCTCTCGTTTCTCTAGCCTCCTGCTCCTCTCACAATCTGAAATCTTATTTCTTAAGTCATCACACCACACTGTGTCTATGCACAATTAGCTGTTTCTAAGACTGCCCTCGTTAAATTCAAGGGCTGCACTTGGCATGTTCTCATAATTGAGCAGCATCTGCTCTTGTTTGCAGAAGGTCGCTGCCAGATTCACCAAACACAGCTCACGTCAGAACCCCACCTGCGATCCTTCCAGCGCCAGCACCGGTGCCAGTGACGGTTCTCAGTGCTGTGACCAAACTCCTGATAACTTTAGAAAAGATGCGCTTATCCCAACTTCCACAGCCGCAGACAGGGAAAGCATAGCCGGGCAGTGAGGTGGCTGGTCACACTGTGCCCAAGATCAGGGAACGGAAATACATGGATTCTGGTGTCCAACCTGCTCTCTCCGTTCATTCAGCCCAGGAGCCCAGTCCATGGGAGGTTTAAACTTTCCTGAGAATACCTTCAGGGACAAGCCATGGAGATTTAAAACCTGCTCAGGCTGACGACTGAGACTGACCACTACAGCACCATTCCACAGAGGTTGAGCAACTACAGGACTTCGGCCCCAGCCCAGTTTCTCAGCGTTCAATTCAAAAGCGAGTGCTGGCGCAAACATATCCCTTAGTTCTCTGCAAAAACACTCAGAGCATCTGTCAAGAATGTCTTTGACATCTCTGCACGTTCTACAAATTCCTGACGCCCTACAGACCCTGCCTCTGTGAAGATCTAAGGACACTCCCCAATCTTCTCACCCCTACCACCCACCAGGCCTCTCCTGGGGACTTGGAATTCCGGTTACTTGTGCAGTGCGGTGTGTAGCATAAATACACTTGGTAAGGCACTGGGAAGCTTTTCTGGGCAGATCCTTGATGTTATAATTACTTATGCTGGAGGTGGTGTCAACTTAGTACATACACAACCAGAGGCGGTGACGTTTCCCAGAGCGGGACCCATCTTCTACCTCTATGTTCACTCTGTACCTGCGCCGTACCCCATGTGAAGTATAACAAAGCCTATATAAATGGTGAATAAATGGCTGCTTCCTAGTAACTTACACTAGGGTAATAATGAAGCTACCTATACCCAACTTCGTAAGCCAAACCCAAAGCAAAGATACCAAGATAGATATATTGATTCTTAGATATCAATCTGTAAAGGAATCCTCTGGAAAAGGTGGTAAAACTACAAAATCCCAGGCTCCGCCCCTGGGAGAGAAAGACTGAGTAGGGCTCCAGTCTGAGTCTATTTGGTTTCAAGGACAATCTGTGGGGAGGTTCACAGTCAAGACTTTGGTATATGGTGACGGAGCGCCACTTCGCATTGTGGATTCCAAAGCTAACCTTTCTCATGTACTTAAGATGTGTGGTTCAAGTTTCTTGACTTCAATGTTAAAGCACAAAGCACAGCAGGCCTATAAAAAGAACACTTAACAATGCTTCCAGTCTGGCACCTTGGGAGCCGAAGCTGTGGGGCAGTGGATCACATCCTCTTCTTTGAGATCACAGCCTGCGCAGGGTTTTCACCTAGATGCCCTTTTTATAAACTGCTCAAGACTTCATTTGCTCCAAATAGTCCCTTCTCAGACCGCCTGGCCACGAGGTGGGTTTTAAAATAACTGAAGGGTGCGGGGCTCTTACCTCGGTCCCAGAGGCTGGCTCGCAAAGCTCTTTCCAGCTGCTCCTCCTCACTCAGTCCTGCCGTGTAGGCATCATAGTTCCTGTGAGCTTCTTCATAGGCCCCTGCTCTGCCATCTGGGTAGTGATTCTGATATCCAGAGGGGCCTGTGGGCACAATCAAAAGGTTACAGACCCTAGGAATGGGTTTGGCTTTTGCTTCAGAATTCCGGCTTTGTGTATGCAAAGACAAGCACATGATTCATGCCATTATTTTGAGTGTAATAATAATCTTGCTACTAAGGAAAGAGGACATACAAAGAAAACTTCCACAAGCGTGGGCAACGAGGATCCTGTCACTGCTGCGGCCACAGTGTACAACCCGGACCTGGGCATGAATGAGATGTGACATGCTAAAGAGGAAAAGAAGTACTGACTTAAAGGCAGCTAGAAGTGCAGGAGAAGAGACTGGGATGGGCTTTATGGAGTGTAGTTGTCAGCTTGGAGCTGATGACTGTCCCACTGGCCCGGAACATTTCCTGTGATGTTCTGACTTGAGTCGGAAGAATGGAGGAAAGTAGCTGAGAAAGTCTGACTGTCTTGCTGCTGCACCCAATCAGAGACATAAACCACATACATAAACCACAGAGTGCCTTTGTTGAGCATTCTGTTTCAAAAACTCCTAACAAGATTGAGGCGGATAAGCCAGTTTCTCTAATTATAACTTCATCAGACTCTGAACTTCCAAATAATATCACTTTCAAAAACGGTACTCAACAGAACAAGAGACATGCTCGTTAAGTGATAAATAAATAATACTTTACACACTACACAGACACCAATTAATAAAAGACAGTAGTAGAACAAAGTTTGCTTTTGTAAACTAATTCTATCAAACTTTTGTCAGTTTGAATCTCGTCCCTGTGTTTCTTTAACTGTCAATGGCTACAGGATTAGTTTGAAGGGAACTCTATAGATAACAGTCTGGCACATCTTTGAAGGGAATCTTTCAAGTCCTAATTAATGCACTAGGTTGCCAATGAAACTCTGTAAGCTCCCATATCATGCATCTCTGTCATTCTACACAGTGCATGCATGAGTACTAACTTTAGTAACTGCAGAAAAAGGCAGAGCTTGGTTGAGTGAAATTTCACACTCAGAAATTAGATCACTGGAACTCAATCTATTTTAAAAATTATTTTTGAACTTTTTATTATTAAAAGTTCTTAGACAAAACTTTGATTCAGCTTTTAATTACCATACATAGGCTTCCTTATACATAACATTTTCATATGTGCTTGGTTTCAGTTGACCCTTCCCTCCTTTCCCCGCATCTTCCTGCCCTCCATATCCAAGACGGAAAGGAAAATTTTCATAACTAGTAAAAATGTTCAGCAATTTCGAATTCTTATTTTCATTAAAAAATAAAATTGCAATAAACCCTGCCAGCTTCCGTTGATAACCCAATGACTGCCGTGTGTTCACATGGATATCTGTGTCATGTGTCACTAGTACATGGAAGCGGGACCTTTGCAAAGTCCCGCTTTTTTTAATTTGGGTAAGACAGGGTCACTAGGAGACGGCTCCCAGGATGTCGTCGGTGGCTGTCTGAGAGGAGGAAGTGAGTCCTGATCTCACTTGTCCTCTTTCCATGAGGTTTCCTCCACCACTTATGATGCAGCAAGAAGTCTTGACCAGACCCTAACACATGTTTGACATCACAGACTCCAGAAACACGGGCTACATAAACTCTATTTTTTTATGAATTACCTACTTTCAGTTTGGTTATAGGAACTGAAAAAAAAATACTGACCAACTATTATTGTAAAATTTACCAAGTCAGTTTTTCAGTACATGCATGCAGTTGGACCAGCATCACCATGAATAACTGTAAATATTTTCTTAATTACCCCAAAGAAATGTGTACCCTTTAGATAACACTCCTCAGTTTCACATCCTTCCCAGCTCTGAGTAATCACTAATCTACTTTCCATCTCTATAGAATATCTATTTGCACAAATCATATATGCAGAGGCCTACAGTGCATGCTGTGCTGTGTATGGAACATGTTATATAGCATGCTCTCAAGGCTCCTGACTATTGCAACATGTGTCGGAATTTCATTCCTTTTAATGGCCAAATAATATCTTTGTGGATAGCTGAACTACAGTCTATCTGCACAGTACTGACTGCAAAGACACTTCTGTCTTTGTGTATGTGAGCGCACGGGCACGTAATGGGCCCATGTGGAGGTCGGGGTTGGGTGTCTTCCTCAAGTACTCCCTGTATTTATTTTCCTGATCTTGTAGTTTTATTTTTTATTATTTCATTCTGAGATGGGATCTCTCATTGAACCTGGAGCTTGTCCGTTTGGTCAGACTGAATGACCATGACCCCTTAGGATCCACCTGTTTCCACCCCCAAGCATCAAGGGCCATGTGGATGTCATCATATCTGGCTTTCATGTGAATGCTGGGGATCCAAACTGAGGTTCTTAGGGTTGTGTAGCAAACAGTTTACCCAGGTAGCTGCCACCCCCAGCCCTAGATCTACCTTCCAAATATTCTGAATAATGCTGTGGGCCAATGCGTTCGTAAACCCATTCGTGTTCATAAACCACATTTGTGTTTCTGTTGAGTGTGTATCTGGGAGTGTAACTGCTGGTCTGACTACAGGTTTGTTTAGGTCTTTTAGGAACCACCAGCATGTTTCCCAAAGCAGATTCACCATATCACAGACCTACAAGCAGTGCATGAAGGTTCTGGCTCCAGTATACACCAACACCAATCCTTGCCACTATATAGCTTTTTAAATTTAGCTATAGCTACTATAACGGTGTGATGGCAATTCTTGGTTGTCAGCTTGAGAACAACTGGAATTAACTAAAACCCAAATGACTGGGCACACCTGAGAAGGATCTTTTCTTAATTAAATCATCTGAAGAGAAAAAAAAAAAACTGACTTCTAATCTTCTGGCAAACCTTTAATCTGGGCCACACCTTCTGCTGGCAGGCATACAAGGGCATGGAAGAATGAAGCTTTCCTTTTGCTTTCTTGCTCTTGCTAACAAGCCCATTCCTTCATTGGTATTAGAGTCTACTTCAGAATTCTGGCATCTACTGAAGACCAGCGGAGACATCTAGCCTCATGGACTGGGTATCTCACCATCTTGTTTTTTGTGACTGGGTCTTACCATATTATTTAGGTTGTCCCTGAACTGACCAACTCATGTTGGCCTTGAACTTGTGAAGCTCATGCTTCTGTCTCTTAGGTATAGGAATGTACTACGGTCCCCATTCTTTTCACTATTCATTGGCTTAATGATCAATGGTGTTGAGCATCTTTCTACAGATTGGTAAGTCATTTTACATGTCGTCTTTAAAGGATGTCTACGTAGATACTTTTGTAGCATGAATTTTAGTTGGACTTAATAATAAAAACTCGGAGTCAGCTGTCAGGGGGTGAAAGCTGAGAGATCAGAGAAGCAGAGCAGCCAGCCACTAGAGTTTCCACCTCTACCAATGTTCAGTCTGAAAGGGCGATCCTGCCCTCAGCCTGCCTCCTCAGCCTGCATCCTCAGCCTGCCTCCTCAGCCTGCATCCTCAGCCTGCCTCCTCAGCCTGCATCCTCAGCCTGCCTCCTCAGCCTGACTGCCTAGACTGCACTGCTCCTCAGACTGCACTGAGTCCCTGTCTCCTCCTGCCTTGTATTCCTCTCTCCACCCAGCCATATCCCTCCTGTCTCCACCTCCCTAGTGCTGGGATCAAAGGGGTGGGATCCCAAGTGCTCGGATCACCTTTGTGTGGGCTCTGTTTCTCTTTTAGGCAGATTCAATCTTGTGCAGCCCAGGCTGGCCTTGAACTCACGGAGATCAGTCTGTCCCCCAAGTCCTGCGATTAAAAGTGTTTGCCAACACTGCCTGGCTTCTAGTGGTTTAGCTTTGCACTTTTCTCTTCGGGAAAGCTCTATTTGTTAAAACACAAACAGAATATCACTACATACTTCACTTTTTAACTGACCATTGTAAGTGCTCTACTGGCTTGGTTCTATTTTGGTGAATTTCCTTACACAATATAAAAATGAATACTGAAAGAAGCATTAAGTGAAATGTCTTAGAATTTGGTGGGAAATTATGAAGGCTTTGCTAGCAAGGCAGTAAAAATCACCGAGTATTGACTGAACACTTCCACTAGGCCCATTTCTACATTCTCTCTTACATGTCATGTCAGAATGGTAACAGTGATGATTTTCAAAACAGGAAAAGAAAAATGAAAAATTCCAAATTCTCACAGTGGCTTATGAACAACTTGGGAAGAGAAAACAATTTTAAAGACAGATGTTCTCTTCAAACTCCTTTTTACTCAGTGGGACCATCAGAAAAACTCAGGTCCCCTGATGTGTTAGGGATGCTCTTAGCATGCTTCCTGTCTGAAGGGGAAGGGAGAATGGGACAGAGTTGTAGATCTTGATTTTTCATACTCCTCACCAGACACCAAGCACTGCAGGACAGCAGTGGTCAACAATGTCACGTCACAGAGCCTAACTGGAAGGAGTATCCCCCTCACAACACTAACAGAATATTTGTGGATAAGTCACTGAACACAGCAGAATGCTTCAACAGTCCCTATGTGACACTGCCCAACTCTGAGAATGCTAATTATTTTACTGCAAGGCAAAAACCACCACGTAGGGTTGTTTTCCCACATGTGTCATTGTCACGTTTAAAACCCTGCGGAAGAGTCTGTGCTCGAGAAGGGCTAAGTAGCAACCCTACCTAGCTCACTCCACAGTGCTCATCTAATTCCAAACCCAAATGACCCAACGCTCTGAAGCACTGGCCTGTGCAGACAGCGTACGTGTCTTCAGAGTCTTAGCTGCATGGCTATTACCGCAGTGATGTTAGGACACATTTTCTTGCTACAGAAAAACATTTTTCTTTCTTTTTTTTCCCTCGAGATAGGGTTTCTCTCTGTAATGGTCCTAGCTGTCCTGGAACTAGCTCTTGTAGACCAGACTGGCTTCGAACTCACAGAGATCCACCTGCCCCTGCCTCCCGAGTGCTGGAAATAAAGGCATGCACCACCAATGCCTGGCAGAAAAACATTTTTCTACATGTTATTTCTTTGTTTAAAAAACAACCCAGCAATGTTTGGATAAAATAAATTCAA